AAGATTTATGGACAGGAGAATTTGCATTGTTTTGCAGGAGTTAAATCTTGTGGTTTTAAAATAAACTTAGGTCAAAGAATATTTCTGCCATATCAGCAAGGAGGAAGGCATGAGATCATGATATCCTCCTGTTTCAGGATATCCTCCAAGCATGGAATCAAGTCGTGTTTATTGCAAGGGACCTTGTTTCAGTGTTTGTGACAACAAACAGGACAAGCCAGTTAAAAACTTGGTTATTCAAGAAGGCCTTCCCTCCAGTCAATTAAGTCTTTCTCTCTTTTTTTTCCTTTGCTATTCCATCTTGGTAATCCTCTCTTTAAATTAATTGTTTTAAATTGAAATTTGTAATTTTATATATTTTTATACTGTTTTGTTTTATTTTGTAAGCCGCCCCAAGTAGACATGGTCTAGAGGGGCGGGGGAAAAATCAAATAAATAAACAAACAAACAAACAAACAAACAAACAGGCAGTAAGATCATATATTCTGTTTTTACCCAGACACTTGCTAAAATCATAGTGGGAATGTAGATTTTTCTTCCTATTTTTATTGACCCAGAATATTATGTGCCTATGCTCCATAATCAGAGTTCCTTCAGGAGTTTAAAAAGTTTAAAAATTTACGGACAGGATCCTAATAAGTGCTGCTGCATAGCTTAGTTTTAAGGTGGTCTTGAAAGGCTTCCAGAGTTCTGGAGGCTGCCCATGTCCATCTCCAGATTTTGGAGTCTTGCCATTGCTCTCCTGACCCTACTGCCTGCAGATTCTATCTCGACCAAGAAAAATGTTTTCAACTGGAAGAACCCTCTTGTACTCTCTAGTGCAGTGGTCCCCAACCTTGGGCCTCCAGATGTTCTTGGACTGCAGCTCCCAGAAGCCCTCACCACCACCTCTGCTGGCCAGGATTTCTGGGAGTTGAAGTCCAAGAACATTTGGAGGCCCAGTGTTGGGGACCACTGCTCTAGTGGACAAAAAAGTTTACAAAAAATTAAATATGTGAGGGGAACCTCAGGGTGCTTGGGGACCCCCAAAACATGGCAAAATCCCCCCCATCTCCTGGAAAGCACAAGATAACATTTTGAGCAAAAAAAAATCTGTTTTTGTTTTTTGTTTTTGTTTGTGTGTTTGTATGCTCGAAGGCTTTCACGGCCAGGATCCAATTATTGTTGTAGGTTTTTCAGGCTGTCTGGCCGTGTTCTTGAGGTTGTTCTTCCTTACGTTTTGCCAGTCTCTGTGGCTAGCATCTTCAGAGGACAGGAGTCAGAACTCTGTCTGTGCTCTGGTGCAGTTTGTGGGATAGTTGAGTATTTATAGCTGTGGGATCAGCTTTTTGTTCTTTTCAGGAGACTGGGTGATTGTGGTGATCAGTGTTTTTTTTTTGTTGGGGGGGTATTCTTGTGATAAGGGGGATAGATGATCTGTCACTGTGATTGATGGGTGTAGTTAGCTGGTCTTTTGTGTGTGTGTGTGTTTTTTTAAAGAGTGAGATCTCAGGTTCCCCATCAGAGTTCAAGGGCTCATACTCTCTGACAAGCTTATTACTGTTTTTCTTTTGAGCATAGGATCCCTTTTATATACTTCAGACACCTTTGTCAGCTTCTATGATTTTTGGAAAGGATTTCCCATGTAGCACAGCTTTTTAAGGAAATGAAAAAAGAAGAATTGACAAAATTCCAGTATGTTGGGTCCTTTTATGGAAAAAGATGGGGTAACATATTTTAAATAGATCAGTATATTTCCTTTTTTCAGTATCAGGCTTTATTCTTATTCCATCAGTATACTTAATAAAGTTTCATAATCAGAAGTAGGTGTCTGTATAGATAGTCTAAGGTGTGGAATATGGAATAGACGGTGGGGGAGATAGCAGAAAAAGAAGCAGTCAGAGGGTTTGAGGAGGCAGGGGTCAGAGGAAGAATTGAGTATCCTCAGTCTAATACTTTACTAGTTTTAGAGTGCTTTTGTAGAGGTTTCTTCAGAGAGTAAGGTGTTCTCAAAGAAATGCAAACTGAACAAGTGCATCTTACCCCAGCCATTAGACAAAGTAGTATTTATTAATGTCTACTACCTGAAAAACGTTTTCCTTCTATTTTAAAAAATGAGATTTTAGATTTAAAAACCAATTTGCTTTAAATCAGAGGATGTTAAATTCTCCTTTAATAATTGCTTTACAGTGGTATCTGAACAATGTAAATATTGAACCCTGTGCCTTCAACACCTTTTGTAAGACACATTCAGAGCAAGTTTGATTTTCCGTGTTTAGGGACAAATGGAGGCAAAAATACAGTATGTGGCTTTAGAGGTCAGTCATTTTACAGTCTGTAGCTTGTTATTATGCAAGTTTTGAATATCTGGAGTCTTGTCAACTGAAGGGCATGGACATTTACATTCCATGTGGTGGAAAAATATTCATCTTGGTAATTACCAAGCTTTTCCTTCTGGAAAGTTGTGGACATTTAGTCTTCCAGGAAGAGATCTTTTTAATCTTATTACATAAGTGTAGAATCAACCAAACATAAATTCTTCATTTTGAATTGCTTTCCTATACTGTTATATATTCCTTTTTAGAAAAGTCATGAGAGCATCTTGACTAGAGATACATGCATCTCTTTTAATTGTAATATGATGTGTCTGTGTGTATAAATGAATACATTTTAAAAATTGGCGTATCATCTTTTTAGAACTTAGATCCTCCCTTATTATTTAAATCAGTGGTTGAAATATCCTTAAATTAAATCATTTCACCCATGGCATGCTGGTTGCTTGGCTGTTCCCAAGCCTATAATTGCCTCCAGAACAGATGTGTTGTGTGTTTTTCCTTCAAGGAAGGGAGAGGGAACTGGGTTCATTCTGCCCACCAGCTCCCACGCGCCACAGTTACTTCTTTCTTAAATGTTGGCTGATTTCTCCATTTTGGGAAAGTATATGTTATACATTATGTTAAAAGAATGTGCTTGCACCTTAGTAATTTGCTGATATGGTTGCTAGACTGAAAACCCAAAATCTGGTCCCTGTTGTATGCGACTATGGGTTATTATTGCCTAGTAGCAAAGCCTGGAGTTTTGCTGTAAATGTGTCTAGTAGTTGTATGTGCTTTTGTGATCCTTGTTACCAGGCAGTACATCTGTATATGATATTCAGCCAATGCTGATCAGCTAAGTTGCATTGAGCCTCCCGCTGTGCCACAAGCACGAGGCAAGAATTACAATCAGGTGAGCCAAGTTGCTCTTTGCCCATAAAGCAACCTCATAAGAGAGAGACTGAATTCCTCTGTGTCTTCACGTAATGTAAAGTTACGCCATCTTGAGTGTGCCAGGCCTCAGGCTCAGGCAACAAGGATTGCACAGTGCAACCACACAATTGACTGCACAGTTCCTGCTGTGACCTTTGGCTAGAACACGTGCTTTGGGAATAGCACTTCTGCTATGCTGCAAATTTCAGATTTGATTCTCTAGCTTTGTATTGTGAATGCAGAGTTGGTTGCATAACAAGATTTGGCCAGTGGCATATTACTGCATATTCTTAAGGAACTAAACATTAAAATATTTCCCATTTTCTCGCATCAAAACTTAGGAATCTGTGGTTCAAAGGACACTGTTGCATAGGACTCAAAGCCCACGTATTTCTGGGTTATGAAACCTATGTGTTTCTACAAATTATAATTAAGATCAGCCTTAGTTAAGGGTTCATATGTAATGTTAGAATTGCGGACTTCTTGTTTTTCTCCTTTTGGCTGTGCCACAGAGGATGTAGATTCTGTGAATGTCTTGCTGTAGATTCCCTCCCCATGATATCTGAAGTGCTCATTCTCATAAATACATCGGTTTGCTGTCTTGCACACATATATATGCAGAGAGACATATCCAGCCATCTGCCACATCTCTGGGATGTGCAACAGTGGAACCGTCAGCTGGTGCACATGCAAATGTACTGCTTGCCTCCCTTGTCTCTTGGGGGTTGTAGAGCAGTGGGATCATTACCTATATTGGTTGTTGTATGTTTTTAAGGCTGTTTGGCCATGTTCTAGAGGTTTTTCTTCCTAACCTTTTGCCAGTCTCTGTGGCTGGCATCTTCAGAGGACAGGAGCTAAAACTCTGTGTTCTGGTGTAGTGTGTGGGATAGTTGAGTATTTGTAGCTGTGGGATCAGCTTTTTATCCTTTTCAGGAGAATGGGTGAATATGGTGATCAGGGTGTTTTTTGTTATGGGTGTATTGTTGTGATAAGGGGGAGATGATCTGTCACAGTGATTGATTGGTGTATTAGCTAGTCCATCAGCTACATTGCCTGATGCAAGGAGTCTTGGTAGGGAGCAGGCTTAGGATAATGGGCTGAACTGCCACACTAGTATAGCTTTGATAGCTGCTGTCATGGCCTCCACAGTGTTACCAAACGCTAGGGTTTCTTCAGACAAGTTGATTGGGTTCTGGTGCTATGGCTAGGCAACTGCCACCACTTCTGCTCTTCTAAGGTAGCCGTTTTGGCTTTAGATGACTACACCTGCTGAGCCTTACTGCTGCTACGTCCTCGCTCCAGTCTGTCTGATGTCTTGCTCATGCAGTTTACACAGTCTTTCTGGCTACTAATACATGCATGCAGAACATCATGAGAATTGAGAGGAAATTCTTCATAAAACTGGAAGGCCAGAAGCTGTTAACATCAGTCAGTAACCTTTGGAGTCACTTTTTATTATAAAGCTAAGCCTCTGTGTTTTGGGATCCAGATTCCATTCCAAATCGTAATCCTTGCATTTCAGCACCTATGTCACTTCTTATTAGAGAGTGGCTATCCTCTCACCTTTTTTACAGATGAATGGATGAGGTATAGAACTTCAACAAATTATTTATATTGTATTTATACTGTATTTTAATAAGTAGCCGAGGCACGCCAGAAAACCTGTACAGATGAAACGTACAAAAAAACATAATCCCAGCTTCCTTTTATAAGGCATTTTGTTTTGTTAATTGGCAAATCCCTTTTTAAATTCATGTCCTTGTTTTTACTGCCATGCTGGTCACTGTGATTGAAAGCCTCTTCATCACAGTCAGTTCTCATCACTGTGTTCAGTGTACGGAAGAATGTACTTCCCATCTTCTCACTGTTCTCCTTTAGCTAGGAAGACTGACAGACAGATATGGGCAGCTACAGAAGTTGTGTGCAATGATGCATGTATAAAGGTAGTGCATGCAAGAGCTGCCTCATTCCTTTTTGTTCTTGTACATAGTTCTCTAAAATTCCTCTTCATCCAGTCTTCCGCACAAGGCAGAATTTATCTGTTAATTGGTGTGTGATTTTAAAATGACTACTATGATAGGTATATCTTGTTACTTGTGGGAGAGAACATTGACCTCTTCCATGTTGAAGGAGTTCAGCCATTGGCTTGACAATCTGCAACAGGTGAATTACTGCTACACGCACTGTAAACTAAGGGATTTATGAATTACGGAATTTACAGGTGATTGAGTTATGAGCCACCCAGATCCTGTTTGTGCCCTGTTATATAGTGTATTGGTGCATTGTGCTCTACCCGTTTCCACTGATTTACATTGTTTATTTGTTTCTTTCAGATTTATCGCGGAACAGATTCTCGGAGTTGCCTGCAGAAGTTTGTCTCTTTGTGTCTCTTGAGAGCCTTAATTTGTACCAGAACTGCATTCGCTATATTCCAGAAGCCACTGTGAATTTACAGTCATTAACATTTCTGAATATCAGGTAAATATGACATAGTAGTAATAACCTCTTAGTATTAGTACTCAATAACTGCATTGATGCTGTAAAGGAATCCGCAGTCTTTCTTTTGCAACACATGAGCAATAATGATCTTTAAAAGGTCATTATTAGAGATGGGGGTATTCGTATATGAATATCCTCGCAGAGGTAGAAATAACGAGGGTTATTTTGTAATAACCTCATAAAATAAAAAAACCTCTTCTGGTCTTTGGGTCCCAAAAGCGCCATTCAGGCCCATTGGCTGTGCAAAAGACCTGCCCGCTGGCTCCTTAGGTATTTGTATTTGTACATTCCTGCACAGGTGGAAATAATTAGGGTTATTTCGCCGCTGCCACCGGCTCTGTGGAAGCTCCCTATCGTGCTGTTCTCCGCAATCAATTACCCAGTCCTGTCAGGAGGCGGGATGAATTTCACCACTGCCGCCAGCTCCCAGATTCCGCTGTTCTCCACAATGGATTAGCCACTTTCCAACCTAGCAGAGAGGCTTGTCATCCCGCCTCCTGCCAGGACTGGGTAATCAATTGCAGACAGCAGCATGATAGGAAGCTTCCGCAGATCTGGCAGCACCGGCGAAAAATGCCAGGACTGGGTAATCAGTTGCGGACAACAGCATGATAGGAAGCTTCCGCAGAGCTGGCAGCACCGGTGAAATAACCCTCATTATTTCCGCCTGTGCAGGGATATACAAATACGAATACCTCCATCTCTGGTCACTATTTTATAAAGTTATCATAAATTGGAAATGATAGTTGGCCCATTTCAGCAAAATTCTGTCCTATGGAATTTTTGACTCATCAGCTGGAGAGGTTTGTCCAGGCAAGAATGAAAGTAATGTGTTGTCTGAGAAAGGCACAGGGTACTTCACATTTCCAACCTTCAGAGCTGCTTTGAAGGGGCTGTGTCCCCATGAAAATACTGGCTGTAATTGAAGGACTTCCGCAAGTGTAACAGGGCTCTCTGGGTTTCCTTTCCTAACAGCACTTTTTGTACTCTACTGGAAATCCTGTCCAGGGGATCCGTTGATTTTTCGGGTCATCGTATGTGATTGTGAAGGACTGCAGCTGGGCGGATATGATGGGATGGCAGTGGAGCTAGAGAATTTCCTTTTAGGTTCCCTTCAGTACTAGTTTTGTTCCAAAGGTTTCTTAGCATGTCCTCTTGTGAAAACCTAAATCTGTACTGACTTGCTTGCCATGTGTTATATCTTCTTATATCTGTGCTCTATAGTGCATGACAGTTTTTCAAGAAGTTCTTTTAAGCAGTTTCTATAGCACACCTAATGAAAACAATGTAAAAATAGGCCGTCGTTTGCTTTGGCACTGTCTTCCAGGCCAATTCAGTTGCGCTTGGCTTCCTTTGTGTTTTTTACGTTGAGTTTTTAAAAAGAAAAGGATGTGAGTCAGAGGACAACTTCCTCTGGTTGTGCGTTTCAAAATATTTATGATATGCTGCCATTTGACTCTGGGCAATGCTTGATGAGAGGAGTTTGCAACGCAAAGATTGAATTTCTTTCTTTTAAAGAAGAACATTATTAGACAGAATTGTGAATTTGTATGCAGCCCCAACGATTTCAGACTTCAGATTCTGAATTCCTTGATTCCTGTCAGTAGCTGGTTTTCACTGACCTAAATTCAGCTGCAGATTATGTCGGTCTGAGTTCATGTGAACACGTGGTGGTTTCTCAGCTCCAGGAGTTTCTGGATGAAGCGGATTAATTAGATCCATTTCAATCTGGCTTCAGGCCTGGTGATGGGAGGGTGACCGCCTTGGTCACCCTGGTGGATGATTGAACGGGGAACCTGGAGAAGAGAAGGCTGTCTCTGTTGGTTGTGTCAAACCTTTCGGATGCTTTTTTTATTACCAGTTTCATTTCTTTTACCAGTTTCATTCTATTGCCTTGCTAGGATGGGAGTTTAAGGCATCTTCCATTTACATTACTGTCACACACTCTCAGTGGGGCTGCCCTTAGAAACTTCAGTAGGTCCAAAATGCTACAGACAGATTGTCAATGGACTTGTTTACCTGGATCCCCTAATCTCTTCATTGCAACGTCTCAGCTGATTGCCAGTTCATTTCCAGACTCAACTTTGTTTTGGCCTATGAAGCCCTAAACAACTTTGGGTCCAAGCTGTCTAAAGGACTGCGTCTCTCCCTGTAGCAGCCTGCCTGGATTTTAAGTTCATCAAGGGAGACTTTTCCCCTCAATCCTTTGCCCATTTGGTGAGGATGCAAGAGAGAGTCTTGTCTGTTGCTGTTCTCAAGGTGTGTCCCTCCCACGGGAGCTCAGGCTGGCCCCCTCTTTACTGCCCTTCCATTGGCAGGCAAAAACATCTCTCTTTGGGTTGGTCTTTCTGCCAAAGCGCTTTGGGTTTTCTTGAGGGGGGCTCTTGTGTTTGCATTATTTTTAATGTTTTTTTAGAACTATTCGAAGCCTTTTTTTACCCACTGGTTTTAATATGATCATTTTAAATTGGTTTTAAACATTGTAATATTTTTTAAAAACTTTTAATCATACTGTATGTTTGAACATTGTAAACCCCTTTTGGACCTTCTTGTGGAGAAAGGCAGGTTATAAATATTTCAAATATATAATAAATACACTAAAATTAGTAGGTTAAGGTTTTCCAAGTTCATGTATTTAGGGAGTATTCTTATTGAGGATGGCATCTGTCTTCTTACACCCTAGCAGGAAAACATTAAAAAAACTTCCCTTGAGTTTTGAGAACGGCTAGAATTAATTATTTAAAGAATAACCTCCCTGACTTTCTGCATCACAGCTGATGTAGAGAATATGTTTTCTTAAAGTATTATATGAATCAAGAAGGAAACTCCTTAGAATTGCCAGTAATTAATCAGTTTTATTTTCTTATTTGGATAAAGCCTGGCTCATTTTGCCCCTGTATTCTTCTCAGGGCCTCCTTTAGGGGATTTCCAATGAAATAGAATTGTTTTGTTATAGTTTGGTGTTTTCTTGCTATGCATGAACTGGCAGTGTTTCAAGTTCTGTTCTAACTGTTGTTGTTTTTTCTTTTCTTTTCCCCTTCTTTCTAAAAAGCCGGAATCAGCTCTCCACTTTGCCAGTTCACTTGTGCAGCCTACCCTTGAGAGTCTTGATAGCAAGCAATAATAAGCTGGTCTCCCTACCTGAAGAAATCGGACAGCTCAGACACCTCATGGAGCTTGTAAGTGTATCAGTATATTATTAGTTCAGCATCTGACTCCTTAATTCTGTCAATCCTTATCTATAGCATAGATGATGCATATGCTTTTTGCCCAGTTTGATTAATTCTGTCCTTTACGATTCAGTGATGCACCAGCATTGCAGCTGGGGATGGCTGCCATATGTTCAGTCATCACAGTAAGAATTCCACCCTACACATCTTAATATGACAGAAGGTTATCTGCATTCTCCTGTCAGAACCCATTTTTTCACACAGTAGTGGTGACTGCCAAGGGATTAGGCTGAACACCCTTCGTGTGGCCTAGTTTTAGGGCCTGACATGCAGCCTTTTCCAGCCCTTTTAGAAATCAGTGGGAGGGCTGCCAAATTCTTGTCATCTCTGTTTAGCTTTATGATCAGATGCTACAGTGACTGTTGAATTTATTTAAACAATGAGATGTTTGACAGGCTGAAGAGAGAGAGAAATGAATTATGGCCCTAATTGCATACCTCATCTTTTTAAAATAGAATCATTAGAATTTCACTTGATTGGCAATTTCTTGTTCAGCACACAAAGGGGGAAGCAAAAATCAGTGTTGAACAAGTCAGGTAAGGGGTGGGAGTTTCCTGGAGCAGAATGTTATCTTATTGAATTCCGCTTGAATTCAGTTATTTGAAGATACTTGGTTTTGTCTTGAAAAACAGACCTGAATGGTTGCTGTCGCTCTCTCTCTCTCTCTCTCTCTCTCTCTCTCTCTCTCTCTCTCTCTCTCTCTCTCTCTCTCTCTCTCATCCACCTGTCTGTCTGTCTGTCTAAAGTATTTTAACACATCTTAAAAAGGACTCAATGTAGCTTAGAACAATTAAAAGACACTATTTAAGATTAGTAGCAATGAGTATAGAATACTAAATGGATCAAAAAACATATGCAATACCAGAACACATTCAATGAATTATTAAAATTCCCACTTGACAGCCATTTACTCAGGGAAAGTTTACCTGAAGGGAAAGATCTTTGCCTGCTTGCAGAAGGACATCAAATATGGGCCTAGCCTGGCCTCTTGTGGGAAAGAGTTCCAAAGTCTGGGAGCAGCCACAGAGAAGGCCCTCTCCTATGTCCCCACCAAATGCACCGGTAAAGGTCATGGGACTGAGAGAAAGACTTCTGACGATCTTAACACCCGGGCAGGCCCTCATAAAGGGAAACGCAGTTCTTGAGATAGCTTGGACCCAAGCCATTTAGAACTTTAGAAGTTAGAACCATCATTTTGGATGCTACCTGGAAATGGATTGACAGCCAGCAGAGCTGCAGGGAACCGTTCTCTGGTATCTGTTGAGGCTTCCATAGCTTTTGGGTTAATGCTGCTTTAAAAAAAGATGCACTTTACGTATTGTTTTAGATCGGTTTCTAATCTTAATGTTATCAGTAATCCATAAATTTGGTGTGCGCTTGTGAGTAAGAGAGCATTTTTCAATCATGTATTTCTGGGCTATACTACCTGTTGTTTCCAAATTTATTTATTTATTTATTTCATTTATACCCCGCCTATCTAGTCAATTGTGACCACTCTAGGCGGCCTCCAAGTGAATGATTAACATTTTATGCTGTTGTGTACTTGCTGCTTTGAATAGATATGAAAACAAAAGCCATGCATCAATCACTCGTGTTCCTTACAGTGTGTTTAAGAGAGTAGGACATTTGATCTCCAAGATCTTCTCACCTGGCTTGATTTTCAGACAGTGTTGCCATCTCCTGTGGAAACTGAATTGGATGCATCATTGACCCCTGAACCATTCCTATACTTCTAAAATAGGATATCATTCTTCGTGACTGTACTGTAACTTTATAATCATGACATTGTAATGCTACGACCAGTCAGAACTTAAGTTCATATATTTTTCTTTAGACTAGTTGTTAGCTGCCCTTTAGCACAGGTTCTCTGGTGCGGTGGTCCCCAACATTTTCTGAACCACGGACTGGTTGGGGGGCAGAGTGGGGCGGGGAGTGGTGTCATTGCATGTGGGCGGAGTACACAGGGAGGCACCTGTGTGTGGGTGCATGGATGGGCGGGACCCAAGGGTGCGGTTGGGCGTGTGTGGAGGGGGAGTGCAGGGCCCCCCGGAAATTGTCTTTGCCAAGGCCACGGCCCAGTACCAGGCCGCGGACTGCGAGTTGGGGACCCCAGCCCTAGGGGAAGGGAAAAAATTGCTGAGAGGGTATATCTATCTCTAATTTGGGGAAGCTGAACTTTTTGCTTTCAGTTTCCCCATAGCAAGATTCTCTAGTCTTTTGAGTAGTGGGGACTGCTGTGCAGAGCAGAGTACAGAGAAGTCTGTGTTTATCATATCTGTTGCTCTCAAGTAGACCTGGATCCTTCCTAGAAAATACAAACTTTAAAAAGATAGTAGAAATGAAAAGGGAAAAAAGCAGCTCACTAAGACAATACAACTCCAAAGAGCTGTAGGAGTGTTTTAGTAACTGCTGGGATGTATAATAGAACCCATTTCCAGAACTATGGCCACTTTCCTTACTAAAAAAAGTCTCCTTGAAGTCAACTTTATGGTAATCTGGTCGTTCTAAGGCATCTTGGTGCTGAATTGTGAACTTGTTGACAGCCAGATCAGTGAACCAAGTACTGTATTTTTGTCACACACTAGTCAGACCAATATACATCTTATTCTGAGTGCGCCCCTAAGTCTTCCTAGTTTAGCAGTGTGTTGCCCCCACAGGCACCAGTGACAAGACTCTCAGGCCTTGTTCTGTTACCTGGCAAGCTTTAACTGGAGTTGGAATGTGATAGGTTATTGGGCTGTTAACTGGAAGAGGGATGAGCTGAACTATTAAGAATGGGTTTAAGACTCGTTACTTTCCATTTACAAAACAAGGCTCTGGCTGAGCTTACTGACACACTGTTCTCACACCAAGTCACACCATAAGAAACAAAGTGAAATACATGAAGATGACTATTTGCTGGTCTTTTTCTGTCTCCCAAGGATGTAAGCTGTAATGAAATACAGACAGTTCCATCGCAAATTGGCAATTTGGAATCTCTGCGGGATCTGAATCTCCGAAGAAATCACTTGGTACATTTACCTGAAGGTAAGACATGGAGATAAGTAGTTTTATGTAACTGCTGATATTTTTAGATCCGTGTCAAAATCCACTGGCTGATATATGTGGGTGCCTATTTCTTCTGCTGCTTCTTAACTCCAGCATTTTTTATGTATGTTTACTCCTTCAGAGCTTGCAGAGCTGCCTTTGATTCGTTTAGATTTTTCTTGCAATAAAATCACATCAATTCCAGTTTGCTACCGGAACCTCAGGCATTTACAGACAATCACTTTAGATAACAACCCCCTGCAGTCGCCCCCTGCACAGGTAATGTATAATCAAAGGTTAAAACAATAATCTCAGTTTGAATATGTTTTCTACTAATGTAATAAATGCATTCTGAAGAGTAAGAATTGAAGAAATATCTGCTTTTTAGCATAATGCAAGAGTGTTGATGTTTCTGGAATATTTGACTGTTATAAGGAGGCAGTCTTTAATGCATTCTTTGTGGACAGGTGACTAACAAGAGAATACACTCCGGGGAATGGAAGATCTGTGAAAAATACTTATGTGTTACACTTTTAAAAACTTGGAACTGGGAAGGTTAAAATTGGGATGTGTTATGTCTATGTGGATGTTGATAAGAGTCACTCAGCTGATCATGTTTTTCACAAAGGCAATCAGATCTTTATTTCAACTTTTAGGATTTGGCTTTGGGAATCAGGCTGCAATTGAGTTAAGGGCCAGACTGTCATGTGCATGCGAAATTGTCTATTGGCAAATGGGTTGGTTGGCAAATGAAAATTTAAAAACCCCGAAGGGTAGGGAGTCATGTGATCATTGTACATGATACAAAGGCAAGAGTAGCTTATAACTTCTGTTAGACCAGTATAAAATCACAAACAAATGTTAGTTTTCAACTCGTATCGGCCTTCATCTGGTGGGGCATCAGTCGTCTATGGATGATGCAGAAAAAAAAATACAAGAGGTCCGAAAATTATGGCTATATGTCTAGGCCAGTTTAAAAACGAGGGCTGCAAAGTTAAGCCAGGATTGTTGGATTTAATTTGCATCTCTGGCAATGTTGATTGAACGGTCCCAAACTTACCAGATGAAAAGATGCCAGAAAAACCCAGAGTAACTCACATCTGGGTAATGTATTTGGTGAACAGCGTTTGCAAACCATTACTGACAACGGACAGCTATTTGTGTGCACATATGCTTTACACTTGCCATCTGTGAGGTGCTGAACAGAAAGAATGTGCCTGGGAAGAAAGTTGGGAAGCTGAGAAAGTTATCACAGAGCCAGCTGCGAAGGAGAGGCAGATGGCAGTGTTTGGGCAGAGGGTACAGTCATAAGGAGCAAAGAACTGGGGATATGCTTGGAGACCGGAATAGAAGAACCTATTACAATCTAGGAGGGGCTCTGCAGAAAAATCAGGTTCATGGACTTGGACAAGCTATTTAAAGAATAGAGTGTAGCACTTTGTGAGGCGGAGGGATTGACATGCCAGCAAATTTAGAATGCCTTCCACCAGTGTGGCTGTCACTAGTCACATCGTACTAGTAGTAATAGTAGTAGGCTGTCACTAGTCACATCGTACTAGTAGTAGTAATAGTAGTAGTCGTAGTAGTAGACTCATTGGCACACAGCTGGATTAAGACCTTCCTAAAAATATTAGGATTAGTAAAAATATTCAGAAGTTCCTCAAGAAAAACATGGAAGAATGGAAAACTGACTTAACAGTCTATGGTGAAGAAATTGGTGAACCTAGCATCAAAAGACGTATATTTCAAGTGGACTCTTTGCCACCTGTGCTGTTCAACATCTAATTAATCCCCATGTCAATAATTTTAAATAAAACTGGATTGGGCTACTATTTTTCAGAACAAGCAGGAAAGTCAATCATCTGTTATACATGGATGACCTAAAACTATATGCAAAAAATTCCACGGAGATAGAATCTCTGCTAAATACAGTGCAAATATTTAGTGAAGCTAACCAAATGAAATTTGGAACTGACAAATGTGCAGCTCTGTCTGTACATTGTGGCAAGATCCAATTTGGAATTTACAAATGTGCAGCTCTGTCTGTACGTTGTGGCAAGATCTAAAATCTTCTGTATACATGGATGACCTAAAACAATATGCAGAAACATCCATTGAGAAGTGAGACTATTTAGTGACATCTTCTGTTATACATGGATGGCCTAAAACAATATGCAGAAACATCCACTGAGAAGTGAGACTATTTAGTGAAGATATTCAGATGCGATTTGGAATTGACAAATGTGGATCTATATAATGCAGTGGAGGCAAACCTTTTTCAGCCCGAGTGCCCAAAATGAGGGTGTGGGGAAGAAACCAGTGGCTGCCATGCTGCCCGGAAGACCAGAATCAGAACAGGAAGTGGCAGTTTCAGGGGGAATCATGGGGACGGACAGGAAGTTAAAGGGGGAATCATGGGGACATACAGGAAGTTAAAGGACCTAGAACAGGAAGAGAAAGGGGGAATCCCAGCTGCAGCCACGTCAAAAGATTTGTTGCATGCCAGAAGGGCTTCGCGTGCCAGCTGTGGCACGTGTGCCATAGATTCGCCATCACTGAATGTGTCGAGATCCCAAAACACGTGTGCCATAGGTTCGCCATCACTGAATGTGTTGAGATCCCAAAATTACAATGGTGCCCCACATGACGATGATAATCAGTCCCACTGAAATCGCTGTTTAGTGAAATCGTCGTCATGCGAAAACCCTTTCCCCATTTGAATGCATTGGAACCCGATTTAATGCATTACAATGGGGAAAATGCCTCGTCGTCCAGCGAAGATCGCCCATAGGGAAGCCATTTTGCGAGCGCCGATCAGCTGTAAAAATGTCTACCCTGTGAAGCATGGGTTCGGAAAACACAGGGCAGCCATTTTGCGAAGCCGATGATCACCGGAAAATATCGTCGTCTTGCGAATAAACGGTTTGCGAAGCACGGACCTAATCGACGTCCAGCGAAAATCGCCCATAGGATCGCAAAAAGTCATCTAATCCCCCATAGGATCGCAAAAAGTCATCATGCAGATTTGTTGTTTAGCGGGGTCATCATCTTGCGAGGTATTACTGTACATGGAATCTAGTTTTTAAGATGGCAATATTATGAAATCACTCTCAAATAATGAAAATTATAAATACAGTGGTGCCTCGCTTTATGATTACCTCGCAAAATGGTTCATTTACAAGATGATGGTTTTTTGCGATCACTATAGCGCTTCGCAGAATGGTTTTCCCTATGGGCAATTTTTGCTAGATGATGTTTCGGTCCGTGCTTCACAAGACGGTTTTTTTTTCAGGACCGTTTTTCCTAAGACGACAATTTTGACAGCTGGGTCTGCGCTTCGCAAAACTTTTTTTTACAGACTTTTTTTGCAAGATGACATTTTGACAGCTTCGCATAACAGTTTCTCTATGACCAATTTTCGCAAGACGACGATTTTTCCTCCCCATTGGAACACATTAAATAGATTTCAATGCATTCCAATGTGGAACCGCATTTTGCAAGACAATGTTTTCACAAGACAGCGATTTTGGCGGAACGAATTAACATTGTCTTGCGAGGCACCACTGTACCTTAGAATACTAGAAGCAGATAACATCTGCTAAAAAAAGTTAAAGAACTGACAGAAAGGGAATACATCAAAAGACCGTGAAAATCTTAAAATCAAAATGAAATGGTAGAAATACAAACACACAAACACATGGGCAGTTCCAATAATTAGATACCCAGCTGGAATAATAGATTTGACTCAAAATGAATTAGAAGAATTGGATCCAAAAACACAGAAATTAATAAATGTGCACCATACACTGCATCCAAAAAGTGATGTGGATGGATTTTATCTACCATGAAAAATTGGAGGCCATGGATTACAGCAAATACAGCAGGTAGTACAGGAGAAAAAAGAAGACTAAATATCAGTACAAGTAGAGAAAAATTACTTAAGGTGGTAAAAATGGATAATATTTCGAAAACAACAGAAACAAAGGCTCAATATAAGAAACAA